TTTGGTGTAACGGTTGGAAGTTTAGGAACAGCTTGCCAGTTTCGAAAAGTTTGAGATGTGGATCAGCCCAAGGTGGCAACAACCACCCAAATGCAGGGCCGGTTTTGGGGGGTTGAAAAGTGCTCGAAAGCGTTGTCGCGGACAAAGGGCCTCCACAGTACCAGAGAGGATCAATGTTCAGTAAGCAATGCAAACACATGCAAAACATCCGACGTTGAATCTTCAAGCATCCTACAAGTCAATGTCAATGTGGAATCTGGTGCTAACAACAAGCTCAAACTGGAAGTTCAATGACAGAGAAGCAAAGAGGTGCCGTTCACCGCAATCACGAGACTCAACTTGAACCCAGTGTTCAAGCTCTAGCAGAACGTCTTTCGGTAGAAAGCTGGCAGAACTAGGTTGAAAGCAATTGAAGTCCAGTTCGGACTTCTAAAAGTCGAACGCATTTTCAACTCACTTGCAATGTGAAGCAATTCTAAGGAATGACAGTCAAATTTGGCACCGACAATCTACGGGACAGTGACAATCCGAAAAGAGGCGAAAGCCTTCAGAGTCACAATTTTTGCATCGTTTGACAAGAAGAGTGTTGAAATGCCAGAGCATGCAGAGTTGGAGAAGAGTCTGAAATTACAGACAATCAAGATCTTGTTACGGCAATCGTGAACAAAGACAACCAGCACTGCTCAAGATTGGCTCATTGTTGTTGATTGGTGCAATTTCTGATAACTTCATTGAACATTGAGGCTTTGCTGGACTAAATGCTGTTCACTTTTTTGCTTTTCGTTGGCAAAAGCATCTGTTAAAGAAGAAGAGGTTGGCTTTTTCTTACTACACAGCTTGGAAAGGCATGGCAAAGAGAAAAGACCATGTCTTGGAGGGCAAAAGTAAATGGAAAATAAAGCCGGGTGTAACCTCTCCAATCTGTCTGCTTGTTGATCTCTGACAATTTTAACGTCAGTTTCAGGCTCCAAAATAGAGCAAATCTCTCTATATCACTCAGAATTGGCCACCATTCCTTCATTTGCTTGCGCATTACGTTGCATGAATGTGCATGTTGCACCAGTGCTCTTGTGGATGCCTTGTGCTGTCGCTCGACAACACTAACACACGGACGGGTGGAAAGCAACTTCATGTTGCAACGTGCAACTTTACTTTGCGCTTGACCACGCCAATCCATTGTTTTTTTTGATTTGGCTTAGAATTGAAAGGATTTTAAAAACACGGAGTAGACAAGTTGGATGCATTTGTCGGATGCAAGTCAATTCACTTCACTCTGTGCAATATGCATTTGATACTATGCAAAAATGCAGACCTTTAGCTCGCAGTTGTTGCCAAGATGTATTGTGGCCGTGTTGTCTGACTGCTCTCAACTTGACAACTCAGAGTAGGGCCCGACTCAATAGCCGCGCATTGGTCGTTTTTAGGCTGAATGCAACTTGGTTGATTGCAAGAGCCACTCCGTCACTCGCGCTATTTCGCAGCTATTGGTGCGGCCCGCCCAGCCGCCTCGCGCTGCACCCCCAAGCAGCGAACAAAGCCACCAGCTACTACTTTCCAATGAAAAAGGAAATTTTGCAATCACAGGTTTTGGACCGATGGTTGTGCTAGGCATGGTTCTGTTCAGACTGTGGCAGCCTATCTGTTTTCAGCCAGGTAAGTAAAGTTTTGTCTTCTTTCTTGTCACGGCCTCCGAAAACTTAACTCTAATGTGCCAAATCTGCTACATTTTAGCCATTAGCAGCTATTAGGCGCTATAAGTGACTATTAGTCACTACTTCCAGGGGGGGGGTTGAATGGTTTTCATGTGGTAGCCACACCAACATGCATGGAAAAGAGTTAAGTGTCTTGTGTTTCATATGACCGGGATGGCGAAAACCTTGCTCACACGCCCAGCGGTTTGCAAGGTTTACGCACGTGCATTTTCACTTTCAAGCCATCTCTTTAAAATCTCCACTTGCTTTGTCAAGGCGGCGAAAGCGGTAAAAGAACAAGTACGTCATCAACATGAAAAGCTGCAGGCGGTTTCGCTTTGAGAACCGTGCAGAAGTTTTTGAAGTGTATGTTTGGAATAAAGCCCTTATTGACTATATCGTTTGCACATTCACTGTTTCATTAGCCAGCTGCTTGTCTCGTTTTTCAGGACGGCGTTGTTGCATGGCATCCTAGTTTCGAACACAGTCCAAAATCATCCACGCTTCCCACGAAGGATATGGTAGTTGATGGAGGAGACCCAGTGCTAGCCGCCCAAAGAATTAGTAACATTGCTGCATTGTTGCACCCGTGGACGGTGACACTTACAACTTACAACCGATGTGAATGTAGCCATGGTGTTAAAACCGGTACGTTCTGAAGGTTCCTGACGATTTAGTCAGCCATAAGATCAGTAGATTCGGTGTAAGGAAGACTTAAACAACCGCGCTCCACTTCAAATGTGTTGCCATGGGTGTCTGAAACTCAGGCAGCTAAATTGTGCAGCCCTTGCATGGTATGCAAGTAAGGCATGATCAGATGACAATTTGAGCTTGTACCAGCTTCGCCATCGCTGAGGTCGTGCATTGTTGTGAAACCCCCGAGGGTTACAATGAGGCGCCGGAGCCGGCCCTCCTGGTTCTTTCAGGGGTATATGGGGGGTGCAGAGCTGGTGTAGCTGGTGTAGGATGTGAGGGAGATCAGGCTGTCGCGGGCTTCACGGGCCAGAGCCCAACACCACAAAACCCCAAGAAGGATTGTGCACCGCAGCTTGGTTTTGCTCCAAAGCATGGGGCTCCAGCTCTCCACATGCGTACGTGCTCATTGTTTGTGACCCGCGCAGCGCTTCAGTCGATGTCAAGAGGAGCAGACGTGACTAGCACTCAGCCAACATCAGCATGACCAATGCGGACATGTCGTCAGCGGGCCGGGTCTACCAGAATCCGAGCGCACCTCGCGAGCTTTGGTTCAACTTCGGCTGGTATATAAAAACCATGCAGAAGTTCCCTCGTTACGACGCGCACTGGATGGGTGATTTCACCAATGAAGGTCACTACGATGAGATTGCGTCGAACCTGACAAAGAAGCTAGCTCACTCCAACATCGGTGAGACCCACGACGAGCTCGGCGAGAAAGCAGGGAAATGCTGCGTCATGACATGTTGTTTATGTTGCCCGTGCATCACCTGTTGTTTGTGCCTCCAAAAACACGGCATCTTGGCAGAACAAGCCAAGCTCAGCGCCTTCTTGGCCCACTTCTTGGTGATTCACGGCATTAAGCTCAACATGCGCATCGAGTTTGTGGAGCAGAAGTCTGGCGAGGTGGGGCCAACATGGTACGACTCCAAGAAGGAACCTCTCCGGCTCGTTGCCTTCGACCGGCAGTTTGGGGGTCCGCCCCCCGGATGCAACCTTGTGATCATCACGGACACGGCGGTTCAATGGCCTCCTCCTCCTCCGCCTCCTCCTCCTGTTGATCCATCCAAGGCCATGGGTTTAGGGTTGAGGGTTGAGGGTTTAGGGTTTAGGGTTTAGGCCCTCCTCCTCCTCTTTCTCCATCCAAGGCCGCGGAGCAGCCCACAGGGGCAGTCACCGGTGCCGTCAAGGGGGCCGTCAGTTGGGTGCTGTGGCGCAAAGTCCTAGTCTTTTTTTGAATTTAAGCCCACCCTGCCCCCCCGCGCCCCAAACAAAAACAATAATAATATAAATAACACTAAATAAATAAATAGATAAATAAATAAATAGCATAACATAAAGATAAAAAACATATAAATATAAATATAAATATAAATGTATATTTAGATTTAAATTTAAATAAACATATATATATATGTATAGATATTATTGCCTCAAGCCTTAAGCGCTCAGATCCTTCACGCGCAGTCCGATAAGGTGAAGGGTGCCGTCAAAGGTGCCGTTGGTGGAGCCAAGGTGCCCTCTCTGAAAGCCGCATTTGTACGACTTCGTTGTTTACCTGTGGTTGGTAGGGAATGAAGGAATGAGGTACTATTGTAACTACTATTACTACCATTCCTCCATTCCCTACTAACCAAAGGTAAGGTTGTAGATGGTACGGTTGTCTTTTCGACATTGAATCATTTTGAGTGAGATCGCTGTTGAACGCCCAAAGCCCCCAAGGCTTAGCATTTGATGTTTTTCCGGAGAACCCTATTCTGCAGATGAAGCCCGAAAGGGTTTGGAAAAATGCCATTTTCCATCGATGCCCGTGCACCACCTCAACGCGCAAAACTTCTGAGGCGCAGTCCGATGAGGTGCATGAGGGAGCCAAGAGCTCAGGCCAACCTAGGTTCGATGCCAGGTTTACTTTGATGGTTCGAGTTCTGTCTACGGTCCCCTAAACCCTGAATCCTAAACCCCAAGCCCTAAACCCTGAATCCTAAACCAAAAACCCTAAACCCTAGCCCTAATTAAACCCTAAACCCTAAACCCCAAACCCCAAACCAAAAGCCCCAAACCCTTACGGGAGCTCCAGTGAGGCTCATGTCGGGCGGGTTGATACCTCACACGACCGATCCTAAACCCTGCGACCCCATGCCCTTGTTTAGGGTTTAGCGGGTTTAGGGTTTAGGGTTCCGGGTTTGGGGTTTAGGGTTTCGGGTGTTTACCACGAGGAAGCAAAGCAATAAACACCCAGACCTGACAAATATCATGCCTTTACAAGCCTTGAACACTTCTCACCTTCCACTCCGTCTATCCCATTGGGTTTAGGGTTTAGGGGTTAGGGGTTAGGGGTTAGGCTGCGGTCTAGGGTTTAGGGTTTAGGGCTTAGGGTTTACGGGTTTAGGGTTTGGGTTTAGGGTTTAGGGTTTAGGGTAGACCAGGATCTTTTCAGTCGGAGTTCTCCGTTGTGCATGACATGAAGATGACGACTTCGCAGTCATGGTTAGTTTTTTGCGAAGAAGATGTTGAGCCTCCAGCCCTCCGCAGAAACTTACCTAAACCTGACACCCCAAACCCTAAACCCTAAACCCTCAACCCTGAACCCTGAACCCTAAACCCTGAAGCCTGAAGCCTGAATCTTACACCCTGAGCCAGACTTTACACTCCAACTCCCTAAACCCTAAACGCAAAAGCCAACACTCGAAACCCTAAGCCCTAAACCCTAAACCCTAAACCCTACACCCTAAACCCTCCGCCTTTAATGGAAGAGCCCAGGTGCAAAGCCAGACCAAGCCGATGCAGCAAGAGATGGTCTCTTTCCATTGGTTTAGGGTGTAGGATTTAGAGTTTAGGGTTTAGGGTTTACTAGGTTTTAGGGTTTAGGATTTAGGGTTTAGGGTTTAGGGTCTAGGACTTAGTTCTTAGGGTTTAGGCTTTAAAGGGTTGTTAGGGTTGTTAGGTTATTAGGGTTCTTAGGATTGTCAAGGTTGTTCGGGTTGTTAGGGTTGTTCGCGTTGTTAGGGTTGTTAGGGCTGTTAGGGTTGTTCGGGTTTGTTAGGGTTGTCAGCGTGGTTAGCAACGTTGGCATTATTAGGGTTTAGGGCTTCAGGGTTTTTGGGTTCAGGGTTTAGGGTTTAGGGTGTTGGACCCCGTTTGAGGGGCGTGGGAGGGGAGACCGATTTTCGGAAGTACCCAGGAAGACATGCTCCTCCTCCTGCACAAGTCTTTTTGTTGTAAGGGGTCTGCTGTAGGGGCATCGAGTTTTGGGGTCTGGGGTTTTGGGCTTTACGGCGTACGGTTTATGGTTTTGGGTTTAGGGTTTAGGGTTCAGGGTTTAGCATTCAACCCAGGAGCAATAGAGCAGAATAAACTAGAGGCCAAGTTTTCGCTATGGACTCGAAGTTGCGATTGCGTAGGGGCTGTGTAGGGATAATGTAGACTTCCTGTTTCCAACGGTTGCAAAAAGAGACGGAAATTGAGGAAGCACATCACATGCCCGTTCTTTTGCCCCCTTCTCTATTTGCTGAACACTGGCTAGACTGCTAGACTGCTAGTTCAACATGGATAGATAATGGAGCTCTCAAGGATTACAGTAGCTTTAGAGTAGTTGACATGTTCTATCTTCTTCAACATGGGTTTAGGTGCTAGGGTTTACGGGCGTTTTTTGCTTTTTTTTTTTGGTTGTTGTTGTTGTCGTTGTTGTTGTTGTTGCGTCAAGAACGGCAAGTTCCTCGAATTTCCCAATGACATCGGGGTGAAGCATCACTTTGCACGCGGAGGAGCTCACAACCCAGTCGTTTCCCCTCCGCCCCCAGGTAGCTCTGGCATGGCTACGGACGACGCCCCTGCCCCTCCGTCCCCCACTCAGGATGCGCCTCCCCCACCGGCTCCCTCCCCCAGTGTTGCCAGAGCTCGTTTTGCCCTTGGCATGCCCCTTCCACAGGGCCACCCCCTCCCTTCGGAGCCTCGGGCTACCACTTCAAACACCGCGGAGCCTCGGGCTTCCACTTCCACTGTCCCCCCCTCACCTCCCTCCTCCAAAGCTCCACCTCCACAACTTCGCTCGCACCCCCCAGCGGCATCCCCCTACTCCCCCTCCTCCCCGGCCTCCCCTGCAGAACCGCCTCCAAACAGAAGCCGGTTCAATGCCTTCCAGTCATCGGAGCAGCACACACCGTCAGGGCCACATATGTCAGAAGACTCTGCTTCAGACACAAGTGATGGCCCTCCACCCTGGGAACAACCGGTTGAGGTCGACAACATGGCGGAGGTCAAGTACCAGGCCCGGTCACCATTCACACGATGGTGGACCCTGTCCCGGGGCCATCCTTCGAGGACCAGGCCAATGCCATGGTCAAGCGGGACAAGATCATCCAGATATGCCAATCCGATGAGATGTTCACCTGGGTGCACGCCTTAGCAACCATCCTGGTCATCAATGAAAAGGCTGTTCTTGGAGGGCTCAAAGT